TAAGAAAACATATGCGTAGTTTTCATGCTTGTGTTTGGATGACAAATAATGTCGAAGCTTGTATTTAAACAGCATATTTTGTTCTTGCAGCTTAATGACGGATTGATTGATTATGCAAGTTATTTAACAATGGGAAAGTAATAAATATATTATACTAGTGCACATTATGAACACATCGAAGTACCCATCAAAACTTTAGACTTACTTAAAATACTCACTATATGTTATCTCTGTGTGTGTGTTAGTGTGTATGTGTGTGTGTGTGCGTGCGGTTACATGGACTATGAATTTCTCCAATAATTTTAGGGAACCACCTGCAAACGTTATGCAGATGAACTGCACGAGGATCATGCATCAAATTGCTGTAAAGCATGTGCAAATATAGTGCATACCCCACTTGCAATATGTAGTTATTTGTTCACTGTGATATAATTTGTCACTCCTGTATTAATACATTCAGTTTATATTGACTGCAGATTTGGCTTTATGTCATTTGTCATTTAATTACCCAGACACGAGTGTCAGTGTGTCAATTCTTACTGTACCGGTAGGCCTGATTTGACACTTGTGCATCACTATAAAAGCGTGTCATGGTAGTATATATAATGGGACGAATGGGAGAATACATTAATTGAATAAATGGTTTCAATGAAGACAGGTCAATACTTACAACGTTGGTGTCCGATGAAGGAAAGACAATATTTGATGAATTTATTTTGTCATATTTTATGTCACCAAATTGAAATTCGAAGAATATTATGTGGTTATCTCTTTATCATGCATCATAAACTGCCTTTTGATATGCTACATGACTATGTTGTGATAGGTTTATGAAAACTTGTTTTTCTCGAAATGGTGTCGCAAGCAATTGTGGTAACTCATATTCAAACACCCCACAGTGACACTTATAGCAAACAGAAAAAATGGAACCATGATTTTCCTGAATCCATGCACAATAGTGATTACAATTACAGTAGTATTGGTTCCAAAAATTAACATGAAATTCCCACAGAATTACACAAACCCCTGCACTACACCTTCCATGGGCAAGTATCCCACTGAACTGATGTTGTTTCCACACGGCAATATTTGTCAACTCTTCCTTTTCAAGAAAGATTGCTTGTAAGGTAAACACCACCATACACAGTAGAGGTAGATTTCGGAATGTGGAGATGTCCAAGTTTTAGGTCATAAGTAACGTGTTTGAGGTTACTCTTGGAGAAGGTTGTAACGGTACTTTTGGATGGATTGCAGGTCAGGCGCCATTTTGAAGCATAGTCATGAACAACGTCAAGTAAGGATTGTAAGCCCCTCGGCGAAGTACTGACAAACGTTGTGTCATCTGCTAGTAGGACACTTGGAACACTTAAGCCATACACTTGAATACCACAGTTTGCTTGTCTTAACAAGGTTATAAGATCGTTAATGAATACAAGGAAAAACCATGCTGAGATAACTCTGCCCTGTCCTACTCCTTGATGTACACATCTGAATTTTAACCACCATAAGAAACAAATGCTATACTATTTGTGTAACACTGGTGTAGTAGGTGCCAAACATGACCATGTATTCCTAAGTTATGCAGTTTGTAGAAGAGTCATATTCTATCGAAGGCCTTTTCATTATCAAGGAAAGCTGCAATTATATATCTATGCAGCTATCTATATAGCTATGCATTTTTTGTCACCACCAGGTACGAGGGGAGGTCAAAAAGTTTTGAGAACTTACTACTTAAATTGTGAAACAGCTACGCCGCTAGTAGTATTGCATACATTGATCATTCACGAGATACCTATGAATTTTTCAACACCTCGCAACAAACAGTATTAATATTGTGATAACTGGAAGAGCAATACCCTACTGATATCATGGAGAATTCTAAAACTAAGTACACAGCTGTAGTTCATGTCCTCACACCAATGCAAGCAGAATCCATGTGTACAATCCTGACCTGGCACTCGATTATGGTAACCGGACAAAATCCCCCCGGATTATATCCATTTATATATTTATCAATATTTCAACATTCAACAAGGTCAAAGAGCACATAGCACATATTTTGAGCACATTTTCCCCATCATTCATAGCACATATATTTTGTGTTGACATATGTATAGAATGGCAATGAGCATACAATTATTCATACATTATGTGACATTTTGATACAATGCCAATGTGTATACAATTATTCATTTATCAGTTATATTAGTGGATCATAGCACATCATCCCATTATTTCAAACATCAGTTCAAACATCAGTTCGGATACAGCAGCCAATGCCATGCAAGAAATCTGGGGATTAAGTGTTGATCAAAGATCAGTAGAACCTTTAATCTAAAGCTAAAGCTAGTGATGAGTAGGGGATTTTGTTTGTCCGTATTATTTTAAGGATGGGGGTTGGGGTGGGGGGTGGGTGTGTGTGTGTGTTAATGTCCGGGGTGCTTTGTTTTGTTGTTGTTGTTGGGTTTTTATTTTTTTGTTCGTTTGTTTTGTTTGTTTGTTTGTTGTTTGTTTTTTGTTTTTTTGGGGGGGTTTGTCCTGGATTCGTGATTATAGCCTGTTTCGAAATTTAAAGTCTGACTTGCGTGGAAGTCGATTTGCCAATAATGAAATCAAGGCTACAACAGAAGCTTGGTTTAAGGACCAGTGAAAAGACTAAAAAGTTCGAAACCTGCTCTAACTGTTAATTGTACATCAGATAATCAAAACTTTTTGACCTCCTCTCGTATAATCACTGATTTGTGGCATTCTAGTCCTCAGTAGTTATGCCTTTTTCCGCCCTGAGAAATATCTTCGGCAGATGTACGATACGGATAACTGATTGTTTAGGTTTAAAATATTGATGTTATTTGTTTTGAAGTATGCTTGCTTACCAATGTGAACCTTATATTCAGGCGTCGTTAGTAGCATTAAAGTAACCTCTCTCACATATGCCTCCGATGATACTGTGGCACCAAACTATGGGACATAAGTGCGAAATACAGGAATCAGGAACGTTGGTCTTAACACAGACCTGCATGTAAAAGGCAAATATTATGGATGACAACTTCTCCTTGTTTGTATGTCACAACGTGTCTGGGCTATTCCTTGCCCCTTCGACAATTCACCTGACGAACGGACAAGGAATAGCCCAGAAACGTTGTGACATACAATAAAGAAGAAGTTGTCATCCATAATATTTGCCCTTTACTTGAATACCACTTCCAAAATGCCTCTCAAGAACTTCATCAGATCTACAGACCCGTGCCAAATATATTCGGACACCTGACGTAATTTCCATAGACTTACATGTTATTTCAGTGTAGCATAAATAATTTTCATGAAGTGAGCTTAGGATGGATCGTTGTAAAATGTGATAGGCAAATTTGAAATCATCTCTGCTCTGCGCACATAATTTAAGTTCAGTTTTCCGACCACTATATAACTAATGACATCACATTTATCAACTTTCGTATGGTTCCACGATGCACAACTCCATAGGCCGCCATATTGAAGGAGTTCACGGCACTGTACGTCCCATGTTGATTAAATTGTTGCCATTCGATAAATAAGGAACGGAAAATTAAACAGAAATTATGTGATTGTAGGTAAGATGATTCCTCATAAATGTGCCAAATTTGACTTGGATCTTACAAAAATTATATTCATGAAAATTATTTATGCCACACTAAATTAACATGTAAGTCTATGGAAGTACGTCAAGTGTCTTAATATAACTGGCACGGGTCTGTACATGTACACAACACACGAGGACACATTACAGATGCATTCCTAGGCCGGCTGTTGTTTTAAATATGCAGATCAAGTGGTGCAAATCGACCGTTATGCGATTGAGTGAGTGGGTGGTTTGAGTGGTGGGTGGCTGAGTGAGTGATGGGTGGGTGGGTGAGTATTACAGTTACGGGGGGCCAGTTTGACGAAAGAGGGCGCCCAAGGTTATACAGGTCTCGGACATACCGCAAACCCTCTAGTGAGTGAGTGAGTTTAGTTTTACGCCGCACTCAGCAATACTCCAGCTATATGGCGGCGGTTTGTCAATAATCGAGTCTAGACCAGACAATCCAGTGATCAACAGCATGAGCATCGATCTACGAAATTGGGAACCAATTACATGTGTCAACCAAGTCAGCGAGCCTGACCACCCGATCCCGTTAGTCGCCTCTTATGACAAGCATGGGTTACTGAAGATCAATTCTAATGCGGACCTTCACGGGTCTCCACAGACCCACTGATACGGGAATGATGGTCATAAACACAATCAGGGCGAAATGGGATTCGAACACATGCTCTAAGGTAGCTCTAAGGGAAGCAATACTGCACAGTAAACCGCGACTAGGCCATCCGCGTCATCAGGAAACACACACAGTTACGATACAGTTGCAATAAAGTCGCAAACATGACAAAAACACAAATAGTAAGAAATAATGATCTCAATCACAAAGTCAAACAGACTCATCCGCAAAGTGTTAGGCACCCGGATGTATACATGTGCGGTCACCACTAGACGCTGAGGCAGCTGATCAGTCGTTGTTCATGATGTTAAAACGTTTTAATCTGTGTACTACAAATACTCCAACGGGCAAAAGAAAAGATACCATGCATGTGACCATACACCTGATATTAAAATTCACTTTCCTTTTTCATAATGGTGGTTTGTCGTTTTGTAATATCGGTGATTTCGACTTGGTATCGTTCCTTTTGCCCGTTAGTTTAGATAAGCTAGTAGCAGTTACCTCCCTTATAACAGACAATCGGGATAGTTTCACTTCTGCGCTCCTCTTGTTATTCTTTTTTCTCACAATGGCGTTTCATATACAATGTTGTCTTGTTAATCATTAATTTTCAGTACATCGGGAAGTGTTCATCCCTGGGATACGACAAGCACCTACAAATTCAACGAGCCTGACCACTCGTTAGTCGCCTCTTACGACAAACATGGGGTACTTCAGACAAGTTCTTAAGACCAAATTTCTGTAAAACCCTTCAACTGTTGTACTCACATTGAACGTCAGGTAATCCAGTAATTGCTATCCCAGAAATAAGTACACAGATGGTCCACACCTCCATGGCCTGATGTCCTCGCTACATGTGGCAGTGGTCATTGGGATGAGCCCCTCTTAAAGACTCATACAGTAACGGATATAGGGTTTCTATGTAACATCTTCCTTGTTCTAAAATAAGGCTTTTGACGAGGCGCCGTGCTCACTACACTCTTACACAGCGTACTAATACCACTGTTTTTAGGAAAGATACAAATTTCTTCCTTAATCGTAACATATTGCTAAACAATGTTTTACACAGAAACATTTTGAGTAAATATTTGAATGGAATCTTCATTCTTAATGCGGCTATTTCTTTGACCGAGCACCACTTGAATAAAACAAATGTATGTATGTGTGTATCATGTATGTAAGTATGTATGTACATGTATGTATGTATGTGTGTGTGTGTGTGTGTGTGTGTGTGTGTGTGTATAAGTTGTATGCTTCTCTCGAGGGTATTACCCGAGAGAGAAGCATACAACGTATTTATCTTACCGCCATGTCAAATGTACAAGATATCATTTTATTTTATGTTAAAGATCGCTACCGACTACATGACATGCAAACAAGATGGCGTCTGTCTCTCAACTGGATTTTTAACAACAGTGAAACATATTCTGACAAGCATATAACTGCTATAAAAATTGTTAATTATGTTAAAGCGAGTGTGCAAACCATTCACTGTATGAAATAGTTTAAATAAAGCAGTCAAAGTCAGTAAAAAAAAATCTGTACAAAGTGAACACAATAACAGCTGATCAAACGGTTTTCAAACTCCGGGCACGGCATGCGTCATATTATGACGTCATACGATTGTTTGAGCTTCAGCTTCTCGGCGGAGAGCTTGGCGGTTACCCTGGCAGCGGGTAATACTTTTCCCAGTTGCCACTGGGAGGGTGACACGGAAACTTGTTAAACCGTCATTGACCAATGAAATTAAAGTATTTTACATGAAGTTAAGATAAGTATGCATGTATGTATGCACAGTGGTATATGTATGTGTGTGTGTGTGCGTGCATGTATGCATGCATGTATGTATGTATGTATGTATGTATGTATGTATGTATGTATGTATGTATGTATGTATGTATGTGTATGTATGTATGTATGTGTGTGTGTGTGTGTGTGTGTGTGTGTGTGTGTGTGTGTACGTACGTACGTACGTACGTGTACGTACGTATGTATGTATGTATGTATGTATGTATGTATGTATGTATGTTATCTGTTCTGGATTCTAAGGGGCGGTGAGGTAGCCTACTTTTAAAGCGTTCGCTCGAAGACTTGGATTCGATTACCCACATGGGTACATTGTGTAGTGCCAATTTCTGTCCCCTGTCCCCGCCGTGATATTGCTGGAATATTGCTAAAAGCGGCGTAAAACCATACTGACCCACTCCCTCTATTCTAATGTAAGTTGTAAGTTAATATCTATCACGTATAACTGTATGGAAATATGTCAATATCGAAACAATTAGCTGCTATAATGTACAGGGACGTTACATCTCATTTAATTAGTGTCTTTCACTCTCAATCTGTTAAAAAAATCGAAAGAATCTAAAATGTTGCAATTTGTAAGAATCCGCACAGACAAGACAATTAAAACAGTCACTTCTGAAATAGCATTTGAGTATGATGTTACAAAAAGTCATCTCTACCAGTGAAGATGCGGGTGTCGTAACCTGGTGGTTTGTGTCGTCTTTCATGCTATCAATCATTAGGTTGGATCATCGACTATTGTTTGCGAATCTTGAAACACTCAATACAAAGTAAACGAAATATCTTCCAAAATAAGAGTCCAATATATCATTCCTACTATACCATACTACTATTCCTACTGTGAATAATAATTTAAACATTTATCAAGGACGCATTTTGTCAGACACATCGGAAGACAGGTAAATCGGTAAATCAGTTGATGAATGCACGTCCAACGGCCCATCAGACACAATCATCCATGTCATAAATAGTCTGGACCCGTAAAGATCCGGGTTAGAAATGGTCTTCAGTAACCCATGGTTGTCGTAAGAGGCGACTAACGGGATCGGGTGGTCAGGCTCGCTGACATTTTGACACATGTCATTGTATCCCAATTGCGTTGATCGATGTTCATGATGCTAATCACTGAATTGTCTGGTCCAGACTCGATTATTTACAGACCGCAGCCATACAGGTGGAATATTGCTGAGTGAGGCGTTAAATCACAAACCAACCAATTATAATCTGTAATTATTTAAATGTAAGTTTTGTTCATTACTATCTCTACCACACTTGGGAGTACTTTAGTAGTATTTTCTTCAGGGGGACTATCTTACACGAAAGTAAATAATATTGCTTCCGTGTGTGAATCAACTAAATGCACGCATTCTCAGCGTCATAATGATTCAGACAGGTGTTATTGCTCTGTGTATAAAACATGTTCCAACATTTTCAAAAAACACCTAAGTCTTGCTTTTTCGTCATTCTACAATTATTTTCTCTACAGTAAAAAATATTTTGGACACTGGCTGTGTACAGTAAAACTAAGGCGTCAACCCGTACTAAAGTTCAGTATATTAATAAATTTCTATTCCCCTTTACTGTCGAAAACATTTTTGGCGTTGAGCGAGAACAGTAGTACATCGCCTGGTCTGTAAGAAAAAAAGGCTCGTGAAATGACTTGTAATATCCTCTGCAATTCTGCCCTCAAATTGGTAAGATTCAAGAATAACGTAATCTTTGAAAGCACGCGAGTTTACGGTTTGGGTTTAGCTTTAGGTTTAGGGTAAGGTTTAGGTTTAGGTTTAGGGTTAGGGTTAGGGTGACGTGACACTTAACAATATGGCTGGTAAGTATCTGGTATTCTGTTGGTTAGGGTTAGGTTTAGGGTTAGGGTATGGTTTAGGGTTAGGGTTAGGGTTAGGGTGACGTGACACTAAACAATATGGCTGGTAGGTATCTGGTATTCTGTAGGTGTATCATAAACATTATCTGTCATATTTTGTACTCGTCTCCATTTCATCCCACATATGCTCTATGGGAGATATCCTATCAAATGTCAATTCAAGGCACAGTAACCCTAGCTGTGTGAGGATGGGCACTGTGCTGCTGGAATGTTAAAGGTCACATAAACCCAAGGGGGTACAAATACATAAATCACTAACTGGCATCGTTATAAATGAAACCCCGTCATTAAAACTACTCATTTCGACCTTTAATTGACTTAAATCGACCTTTTTGACAACAGTGCACAATTCTCACCCGCGAACGAAATTTCAACCAATCAGAGCGGCGCGCCTCTGTGACGTCATATGAGGAATAGCTTTGAGGGCCGATGCAGAATTCATCTACATTTTAGGGGTTAAATTATCTTGTTTACAGGCCTGTATAAACCTGAAATCGTGACAATTGTTGTGGAAAATTAAAGCTATATGTTCTCACAATCTACTGTCATTTACTTTTGTCTCCTGCTTTGCCTAGTTTCCGAGTTACAACTTGTTTTCATAGACGATTCTGTCAAAATCGATTGGTGTCGTTAGGCCCTATTTGTATAATGACTGATCCAAATTGATCCCATTTCTGTGTTTTTTTACCTCGACATTTAATCATGTCATGTAAAAATCTGTTTGTATTCTCAAAACAGTGTCGGCCCATAAGTTTTCAGATGCAATACAGCAATTAATACTCCCTTGTTGTAACCCGTGTTAGGTGGTATAAACCTACACATGTTATTTGTCATCATTCACTTGATGGTCAGTTGATGAATTTATAACAGGTATAATTAGTGGTAACACCACTTAGATTACCCGACAAAGGTTCCCATTTGGCATTTCTTGTGTCTGGAGTAAATATTCAACATTATAAACATCGATCAAAGGATTAACCGATAACACGCTGATTGATTAATTACTTTTATCTTACACAGCGGAGTTGTCAAAAGGTAGTGTTTATGTATGTAGATTTACTAATCTATACTGAATACACTCTGTCGTGTCGGTGTCTGCGTAAAAACAACGTCCTTCTTTCAAAGGATTAACCGGCAATACATTGATTGATTGCCCATTATTGGCTAACTAAATTACTGTTTTTAAAGAAAGGCGGACATTATGCAATTAGTTGCCAGGTGTGCTATATTGGGTGACCAATGAGACACCAATACCTGAAAAGATTTATCACTTTTTCGTATATTAAACTGTTAAAAGACACATCATTTGGAACAGTTTTGTGGATATTGATGGATACATTCCTCGAACAAGGTAATGGCCTGATATTGTTCCCATAACTTTAATCTGTTTTAATTTTAATATTTGCATTTTGTTTTTATTCATTTGTCGTAGCATTCAACAGAATCATTGTTTTCGCCGTGAAGTGTAATGAGACAGACAACATGCACTAGGGTGTGTGTGCGAATTATGATTCACATTGGCAAACTATAAAATGTCTAGATATTACAGTTCTGTTATAAATTCACTATAAGTATCAGCAGATCGTCTGCTTTTTATTTCGTTTCAAAATGCATACAAGTATGATAATAAACTAATTAGGATTATAAGACCAAATATACAGACGCACATTGACTAGTATCTACATACTGGTGATGGTCATTAACCATGGGAATGTAGAAGGAATTTGTCGCGCAGTATTGTGACTTCGACCCCCACCTCGCTTCCGTGGAAGAAATCGTTATGTTATAAGTTGTGTCATGCAAAATCCGTTTGGTTATGATTCAAATACATATTTAACTACGAGTAGAAAGTAGTCTTGATTTTCTAACTTGATGAAAACAAACTATAATCTCATTAATTCTAACAGATTTTTTTATTTTTAAAAATGGCGGCGCCCTGTCGGGAACATCCGCCAGTCTGAGGATAAATGGTATTTAGGTTTGTTTTCACCGGGTTACAAAATCAAAACTACTTTCTACTGGTAGTGAAATATGTATTTTATTGATGGCCAATAGGATTTTGCATGACATAGCGTATAACATAACAATTTCTCTCGTGGCAGCGAGGTGGGTGTCAATATAATACTACTTACAATATTATTAATTTGTTACTTCGACCACAAACTCACTTCCGAGGAAGAAATCGTTAGGTTACAAGTTGTGTCATAGAAAATCTTTATGG